CGGGTGACATCGCAAAGATCGTTTTGATAATTGTGTTGCGACAAAGGATTAATGGGGGTAACAATATTATATTAATATTAATTTTTATTATTATTAAATTAGTATAATATTAATTTTTGCTCTTTTTATATAAAAAGATAAATAGTGCATGTGCATCTATAGTGCGCGTCTATAGTGTCTAGTATAATAAAACAAAAAATGAAGAAATTATACGCATAGATTATTTTATGTTAACGATGCATCTCACGTCGTTTTCTTCAGTAAATCGTGTCGTACTACTACAACTATTTAACGAGAAAATACTCCAACGAAATTAATTCGTTCGTACGATCGAAAGTCGCTGCAAGTTCTCTTCGATGGCTTATTCCCCGCAGCTTCCTCATCATCAATCATGAAAATTGCACGAGACAGCGATATCGCTTAACGCGGTTGCATCGGATTACGAATCTGAGAGCATACACACATCAAGGAGAGCAAGATGGGATAACATCTTCCAAACGAAAGTGCGTGTAATATATAGGACGACATCGCTTTTAAGGCTTTGATGGAACGATGTAGCGTACACTCACATACTCGCAGAATGACAAATTGCACGTGCAGACGTGTGCAGTGAGTATGCTCATTATACAGATGCTGTCTTGAATATTGCATGTAATATCATGCCGTTATTCACAAGCATTAGCATAATTGTCGCATCTTATACAGATTGGAAATCTCATAATGGAATGTTGTTACAACAAATTTAACGTTAGAGTCTAGAAACTCTTTAACATATGCATCGGTCAATTACAACATAGAGAACAGTTTTCCAATCAAATTTAATTAGATACACATCTAAAAATAATTTCATTAAACCGTCACAATTATTATGTAGGACGCTTAAATATTATAATAATAACATTGAAAAATTTTTTATCTTTTCACAACCAAATTGAATGTCATACATCATAATTTTGAAGTCCAACAAAATTATTTTCAGATCTATATGTGGTTTTATTTTATTGAATTTTCTTTTTATTGAATCTATTTTTATTATATTGAATTTTTAAATTTGCCAATAAAACTGTTTTTTCGATATAAAAAATATTAATTCATTGTATGAATAATACATATTTTTATACGATTTTACAAGTTGCACGGAAACGTAAAATTTATCAGTTTGCGATGGTTTGAGGATTCAGGTAAATATGCGAATATGTATGTAGAGATTTGTAGATTTATGGATGTATTCTGGAATTTACTTGATCAGGAGAAGATATTCGTTTGCATAGCGTGGAATATGCATGATGGGTAAGTCAGCAGTAGTGTTAATATGCCAGACTGTGTGTGTACGCGACACAAACTTCTCTAGAGCCTCTGACCGCAGATTGTAATCCCCCGGAAGCTCACAAGTACTCACTCGAACAATTTAGAGAACAATGGTAAATCCATTTGTACTCGATATTGCAAACGGGCGATCGATTTTCCTTTCGGGAAGAGATGTTAAATCGAATATTCGAAAGATCTTCACAGGACTCTCCCTCCCCCCCC